CCGGCGGCGGCGGCGGCATTGTGATGGGAATGTGGAAGTAGAAACGGACTAGTGGAAGAAGACGGAGCACACTCCACTGAGTGTTTTTGCGTGTCTCTGTGTGTGAGAGAGAGAGAGAGTTTGTGGTTTGTTTATGGTTATGGAGCTTCGTCTGCTACCTCTCAGCTGTGTTTTTTTGTCAACTGGTGAGACAAATGCTATGCTACAGCTAGTGCTTGAGGTGAACGTCTGTGGGCCCACACGTGACAGAGAGAGAGAGAGAGAGAGAAGGGAATCTGATTTGGATATATATATATATATTGAATTGAAAGTAAAAGTTGAAATATAGGTCAATTTAGGCTTGACTCTAACTCAAAATTTACTTGCTTGTTTTTTCCTTTGGAATGTATTCACCACATGGAGAGAAGATAAACAAAGAATATATTTTATTGTCATGTTTAAGATATTTTCATATAACTGTTAACAAAAAAAAATAAAAAATTGAATTTGTTACTATGTGTTTTTAGATTTGAGAGCTTATTGAGTCTTGCTTTAATTCTTGAAGTTGAAAGAAGGTAACTTTTAGGGGATGATTGGTTATGAATTATAGGGTCACTTTTGATAGAAATTTTTTTTGTTAGTTTAAAACCGAACTCAATTTTTTTTTGGTACAAGAAAGAAGGCCATAGACCCAAAGCTAGACTATAATTTGGCGGGAATAAGAAACTCCGATCACATCATGTTCGAGCCAATCACCCGAGGACTGGCCAACACATGAAGACCAATCGAAACAACATACGCTAAGCTCGCCAACTGATCAACAGCAAAGTTTGTCTCTCTATGCACGTGACGGAGGTGAATAGTCCACTCCTTTTGGAGCAAATACCTAATTAATGGCCTTGACTAAGGCTTCATGCGCCCCAAAAATGGGATCGGTACCATTAATCATCTACAATACAAACTCACTATCTACCTCTGCCCTAACTGACGAAAACCCTAACTATATTTATCCAACCATTCAAACAAATCCTAACTTATATTCAATCAGCCTAATGACAATATCATTCTTGGATAAAAAAACTACTATGTAACTTCATTTTGTTTATTCATTTGGCTTGTATTATGCTTGTATTTTGTCTGCACTTGAAAGTTACATCTATATATATAGACAGGGGCGAAACCAGAAAAATGGTTGAGAGGGGGCAAAAGAATAGTTGTCAAAACCGGACCGGACCTACCAGTCCGACCGGTTGAACCGAAAACTGGCCAGTTCACCTGT